AAAGGACATCAAAAACCTACGCAAAGCAAAAAACAAACATACATAGTCGAAAATGCCAGAATGACTATTTGCCTGGCCATAGAAAAAATCATTGTGGCGCTCCTGTTTAAAAACCGTGCATACGCAGTGGAACATCACCTCGTGGAATACCAATTCATCTCTTTCTGCACTGGGATTCGGAAAAGTTCATCCACGAGTATATGGTATAATGCTTTTAGAATCTGTGTCCCGGCGGAGTTTCTGGTTGTTTTATTGGATTAATGGGAAGATTGCACGTGCGTTTGCTTGGAGGATGGGGTTTTGGACAATTTTCAGCTTCGCGTTCTCACTCTTTCCACGATTTTTTTTATTGTATGGTTCAAGTTTGTACTGCTTATGCTGTGTATGGAGGAAATGTTAACAGACCTGTCCACCATGCTGTCAATATTACACAGCTGGTTAGCTTTGTCGAGCAGTTTTGAAAGTAAGGGGTCGAATTTTCCTGAACACTCAATGGAAATATGGTGAAATGGGAGCTGTAATTTGTTGCATACCAACCTGGAAGTGATTGTCATTCACGTTAACTGGATGAAACACGTTCAGTCCTTGCTAAATTGAATCCGTTTTTATGTTTTTGGCCCCCAATTTGTTATTGAGCCTTGAAAGATTCTACTTTTGCCTCAAAGCCACCTTTGTTTATTCTCCTAGACCACAAGATGTTTTTGCCTCCGTGATATGTAACAAATGTCTCGTGACACCCTATGAAGAGCAGCTTCAGACACGCGCTCGCCTGGAGCCCCCTGATCCGATCTAAGGGTCCCATGAAAAAGGAACACTCAGACCTCTCACGTTCGTGGAAAATTACGAGAAGCGTTTGTGTGACGTCCCTTGTGGTGCTGAAGAAACCACAGCTTTGAATTGGAGCTGTGGTGGGGTTTCCGGGAGTGGCAGCGTTCCCACACTCATGCCGCCGCGCAGGGGAGTAGCTTAGCTCAATACGTTGGGGTATGAGCGGGGACAATAACTTGACCTACCGTCAGAGTACGCCAAAAAGGATTCCTCCTCATAGTAGTCCCACTGTTTTAAGTTGGAATGGGCAGCTTGCCCCCCCCCCCCGCCCCCTAATATAAACAGGACATCACACCCATGCCGCGGTATTTGGGAGGCATTCCTGAAGTCCGTGTCGGGCACGGCGCCGGCGTGTCACCACCCGGCCTGCGCAGAGGCTGCGTCTCCGTCCGGGCCCGGCATGGGACTGATCCTCGGGGGCGGCGCGCCACGGATGAGGCCCGGCCGAAGATAAACACATCCTTCGTGGCTTACGAGGCATGCCCGGTGTTTGGCGTATGTGGCTGTCGGAACGCCATAACTGTGTAGAAATGCCATGCCATTGGAGCTGTTCCTGTATACACGAGCCGAGAACTTTTGATCAGCACGCTCACCGGAATCGGTCTGGACACAGCGGCCCTGCGCCGGTGCGTCCGACACAGATAAAAACGGGCCGCGTGTTACAAGGAATTGTTCTCGTCGCTCTGGAGCGCTAAAGGTGATCTGTTGCTCTCAAGTGTCACCATCATGGCTCGCTGGTGCACATCGTGCAACTTCTGCACACTACGACATATCAGCGGAAGTTTTTAGGAGGTCTTTTAGTGGCTTACAAATGCATTAACTCGACCCTAAAAGGGGTCGGCTTGCAAGTAACGGAGTGTTGACAGATTCAGCGCTGGCCAGTTGTTAGTCAGGTCAAATATTAGTTATCGGTGAAGTAAATGAATGGTGCTATGAATTCTCCCGAGATGGAGGCTTCTTTACCGTGTTTATTGATGTTGAACGACAGGTATGAAATGTACTAGTTGTCCCGCTTTGAATTCAGGCCCATGAAAATTTGCTGGATGTGATGCAAGCCCGAATGGGCACACTTGTAACATATGATAGTGGTCAAACATCTGTATCCCAATCACTTAGAAAAGGAGGAAATTTCACGATGATTCGAAATGCCACGTCGTGAACAAACTGTATTTTCTCTTCGGGAACGACCGGTTGGTGTTCTTCCTCCTTACCCATCCCTAGAAGTCTCCAGAGGCCGCAAAATGGCAAATGGGGGCGACATTTGACAAAGGGCATGACTCTATCGGTGCATATGTTTCGCAAAATGTTTGCATTCAAGTTGTTGCGTGGCACGCTATGTGCGATCAATATAACGTGAAATTACCACAGCAATTACAGGTGTAACGCAACAGCAAGGGTGTAGCTTCCTATTCAGCTGCGTTTGGCGGGGGGAGCGCTCCAGCCCTTTTCCACCCAACTTTGAAAGGGCGCTGGGCTGAATACGAGGAGAGAGTCGTCTGTTGACGCATGTCGAGGTAAGGTTTAGCTTCTTGGCCCGCTCAGCCCCCCTCCCCCCCCCCCCCCCCCACCTTCCTTCCCCGACGTCCAGCCTATTTTCCGAAGCTGCACCGCTGCTCAAAAGTTAACCGACCTGTTAAATTCAGGCCAGCTCCTTGAAATGATCAGTTCCTTGGCACAAACGATCCCAGTGACATCGGTGATATATTTTGTGTGGATGGGTGCGTGCATGAGTGTCACCGTGAATGGTCGACATTTCACGGGACTGGGCGCTCACCCCCATTTAACGGGCGGCTTTCGGAAGATCAAGGCCCTGCTGCACCAATAGTCCTTCAGATGCGGAATTAATGTTGCGAAAAGATAACTTTATCAGCCTACAAAAGACAGTCGTAAAGGAGGTCCCCGGCAAACTGTGAACGAGCAAAGGGAAGACAGGCAGGGCCTGGGTGTCCTTATCCCGGCTTCATGTCTTGCCTCGTCTGGAGATCTTGTCAGGAGGTGTGGACGTCAGGATGTTCGGCCCACCGACCGCGAATGAACGGAATTATACACCTGGCCAATATGAGTCGCTGCATGCGTGTTTTCTCGCATTGTCACAACCATTGTAAGGCTCAGCGCATGCAGGACAGTAAAGCTGGTTAAAGTGTAGGTTACAATAGGTGGGATTTTTGAAAACTACCGCTGACCTGAGACTTCCGATCGGCAGCAGAGCTTGCAAACTATGTGATACAACCGTCACTTGACCAGACTTGTTCCGGGCTCCAGCTATCCGATTTTAGGTCAGAATCATAATTTACCAAGAATTTGTCCAGCTCGGATTTTGGGACAGATAACGAGTACAGCAGGACTCGTAGCCATTCATACATCGTCTAGATCTTGGGACCCATGCATCCGCTGGAACTTATGACACATGCATCGCCCGGGCCTTTTAATGTACGCATCGCACGGACCTTGGGACCCCTGCCGCGTACTGACCTTGGAACCCATGCATCGTATGGACCTTCAGACCCAGCAATGTACTGACCTTGAAACACATGCATTGTATGGACCTTGGGACCCCTACATCGTGCTGACCTTCGAACGCATGCATACGCACAAACCTTTGGGTCCCTGCATCGTACGGACCTTGGGACCCTTGCCTCATTTATGCAACTCGAACACATGCTACGCCAGAAATGGCCTGATGGTTCGACTTAAATGACTAAGACAAAGGTCTGAATTAATCAATGAGCACTGAAGACTGCCGTCAAAAGTTCGACCCCATTGTTCAGTGTCTCTCTCTACTGATAAAGTCATACTGATTAAGTCAAATAGCATCCGATAAAACTAATGATTCTCTTAAATGAACCACACCCTTTATCACCTGACATCTGCACTTGAGTCACTATCGAACATTTTACGGCAACGTAGGCCTGAGACACCTGCACATATGGGTTTGACTTAGTCGTGTTTGCCGTTCCTACCGGGCACATTTTAGTTGTTCTAATTTAACGGTGTTTGATATCTATGCATTTGTGGAAAAGCACCACAAGAAGGCAGATATTTCTTACATCAGCGTCTGCATGACGTGACGTAGTCACTGCTGCACCCAGTATTTACGTGGTCTTCCTGATCTTGTATTTTCTGGCATGATTTCTACTTTATGCCCGGCAATAGTCATGGTAACCGCTTTTCATGATGTGCAAGGCGGCCTACCCCAGCAACACAAAAAGGCGTCACTTCTTTGATACAACTTCTACTTGTGACAAAAATGCATTTTCAGATTATGAACCGCACGACCGCGCAAATGTGCCGTTGCTGGCAATCGTGCTATTCAATTTTACCTCGATAATAGCGGAAGAACTCCAGACCTGCTTTTGCGCACTGCTCCAAGCTTGGAGGATGCATGCGGGGACGGATCTTGACGTTTTTGGCGTTGGGTGGGCTACACCGTTCTTGTAGAACATCATTTAAAACAACGAGCGGCTCTCACACCCACATACAAACATTCTCATAACATACGACCTAGATATTCTATACGACATATATTTGCATATATATATATATATATATATATATATATATATATATATATATATATATATATATATATATGTATATATACATTTACCTATATGGTAACTGCTTTTCATCATGTGCATTCCAAACCCAACAGAATGATGGTGAGCACTCCAGCCCCAACAGAAGCGAAACGAGAAACGTACGCAATTAATTGGTGGAAATGTGACGATGCATGCACTTAACAGCAAACGTCCGGAAGTTTTGGGTGACTAAGGCATAGTTTTATGATCTCTGGGGCCATGACCCGTTGACGTATGACAAAAAGAAGAGTCTAAATCAACGCAATATGAAGACATGTGTATATGTGTTATCAGCATCGCTCGTTTCCCACGCTCCGAATGCGTTCGCAACTCAGTCACATATCAGTTCTTTGGACCCTGCACGTTCAGTTATTAAAAAAACCATGTCTTTGCCTCATTTTCAAGAATGCAAATATCTGCTTTTTGGATACGGGCGATTCCTGATCCTGCCGAGAATTCGGATAATCATTCATGGTTTTCCTTTTCAGGACACAGCTAGTCATGATGTACCTTTTGGTACTGACCCTGGCCATCGGGTCAACTCTCGGCCAGGCCCCTTATCGGCCCGACTACAGTGACCTGCGCAGAGGCCAATACTGCGAGAGGCTGAGAGGGACGCAGCCAGGTGAGCACTCCAAACAGCACTTCGCTTGCGAAGTGAGCACTCCAAACAGCGCTGCACTTCGCCTGGCGACCTTACCGGTGGATCTCAGTTCATAACAAACGTGTGAAAACTAGCTGTGGGCTCCGTACCACACTGTTGATGTTTGTGTCCTCGTTCCAAAGTAAATTCCGGTTTACTGGGCTACATGCCAATCCAAACGGTTGAGCATATTCAAGCATGGTTTAAGCAAGCGTGTTAAGCATTTCTTAGGCATGATTTCCTTGGCAAGTCGCGCGATCTGTTGGAGAGTAGCTTTGGGTCCTGAGGGCTGACAATAAAATATATTCGCTGCAATTGGTTTGTAAAAGCTCATGATATACGACACGACGGACGTATTACCAGGTACGAATAATTGTTTTGCATTTTGGTGTGGCAGGCAGCAACCTTAACGGGAGAGCGGGATCACCTTGGAAAATGGGGAGGGGGAGCTCGCTCAGCCCATTCGGATATATATATATATATATATATATATATACATATACATATATATGTATAACTTCCGTCCAAGAACCGATGTCTCCCCAGAACGTTAGTAACTGTATTTTGTGTCAGAGACGCATACCATGTAATTTTACATGGTATGTAAAATTACATGGTTTTGTAATGGATGCATGAATTTGCTTTCGTGAAAATTACATTCACCATTTACATGTATTTATGCGTTTATAACGCAACGTATGAATCTCTTGCCCTTCCCCATCACATCAATTTGGGGTAAATATCACATATTCCTGTTCTTTTCTAACAAGGTATGCGAACTGTCTTGGTGTCTACGCTACTTGTTTAGGGTACAGTAGCTGAAATCGTTCAGAAAAGTTTTAAAAAATTGACGTTTCACTTGGTCCTAAATGACCACGCCGGATTACCAATCTTTCCAAAAATGGCAACAGTGCCTCCTATACCTTGTATGCAGATAATCCCTGTTCTGAGCCCGCTGCTGCATTTCGAGTACGTCCCCCTGGTGTTCAACACTCGGGCCTGAAACAGTGCCGCTTCGCCGCTGGCTATTTGCGTCCCATTGCCACCTCGGAGTTTAGTGCTGATTGCAGGGCTCTCAAAGGAGTTGTTCCACATTTAAAAGTACTGAGGAAAGCACTTAGATGAGGAAATGAGCTCACTTTTATTTGTTGTTTTGTTGTTGTTAGTGTTAAAGACTGTTCAGACCACAAAAGTTCACTACGTCGTAAGTGTGCTGCTTAATACATCAGTAACTGATTACGTCATGAAACGTCTGCATGACGTAATGTTGTTGCCAGACTGGCCGTGTTAGAATTATCACTGCAGCCGGTGCACTGACTCACTTGTGGTACTTACATCTCCCGAGAGGTGGCCGTGGTGGCGCTGTAGGTGTTTGTTGAACCAAATATATTGCTCCGTTTTGGCCCTCTATCGTGGTGTTCGTGCAGATTGGTCAGTGATATCTGAAATATTCACTTGCATTCACATATTGGTTATGGTGCTATTGTATAGCGCAACCCGGGAGCCGCGTTCGAAACTCGGAATGCAGTGAACTGGTTAAGGGTCAATGGTACTCTGTGGATGCTAGATATCGTGCCGATGAATGTCAGAGACGGACAGATCTTGTATTTTTTCTGGACCTTGAGCACCACATGGCCAATGAGTTGCAGTATTAGCGTGAAGCCTGTATGTTGTCGTGCATGTCTGTGTGACCTTGAAAAGTCTACACAAGTTCGCAGGCGACAAGCTCAGAAACCAGAGGGTTTTCAGTCTTAAGAAGAGCAGGAATGTAAAATGCACTCAATGGTCTCCAAACTGGTCATGCCAGCTAAAATCCCAAGCTAAGGTGGAACATTTAACTGTGCCTCTCCGTGCACTGCCTCGAACCGCTGAACATCTGGTGCTCCATGATTCTCCCGATCCCAGAGGCGGCCGAGTGAAAAGATAGGTAGTTTACAGCTAGTTCCGTGGCACATGCAATAGAGATGGTTGTAAAACAGCGTGAGATATCAATGAGTGCAGTTTGAGCAGTCGTATTGTGGTTATGTCGAGCTCCTTATCACACGACTTGCGCTGTCCGTGCATATTCCGGCACGTTCATTGGTCGAAGATTGTTCTTCCCCTTTAACACCACAGACTTCTCCGTTTCCTGTTTTTAATATCCTGGGTGCGCCTCTGATAGACGTGTCTGAGAAGAGTTTAAACAAATATTTTCAAATGCATTAAGACCACATTATGACGAATCGCTTGCCGTTTTCCGGTAGAAATCCCAACCAGCAATTTTCGAGGTGGCAGTGGCTGACAAAAAATTGCCTGTTTTGTGTGCGTAATCGTACCACACGATATAGCGCACGGAAAAGGTCGCTGCGAGGTTTGGAGCAGCAAAAATATATCTGCGCGGGAAAGAGGTTCATTGGCGTCAATCAATGAACCCACATAAGCCATGGGAGGCTGCAAAATGTCGAGGGGCCTGCGATGGTCGAAGACCCCGAGACATGATCCGAAATATATCGATGAAGCGTGAGGAGTGACGCCTATTTGCTTGAATTCGTTTGCATGTACACGTATGTTCGTACATTCTAATTGTTAGATAGGCACTGTATCGTGGTAATGGTTGGCAATCGCTCTTTTGTTTAATCCCCTGAATGTTGGTGTCCTGTAAAAACTGTGGCTTGCTGTTTAAAAAAAAAAACTGAAAAATCGAGTAGGATGATCGGTAGGCAATTTTGAATTCACTTTTGCTATTGTTTCTTTAAGGGCATGCTGCCAAAATATCAGCCAAACTATGTCACCATTCTCCTGGTTTTTCTCCGAGGAATGAGACTAATACTACTGTCTCATTTATGCGAAATATATGAAGTTTTTTAAACGGTCAAGACGTCTTGATATTTTAAAAATATGCTGAAACAGAATTGACGGGCCTCGTTAAGACCTCGTAAAAATTTGGGAAGTCCCGGGACTTGAGGCTGTCAGATACGTCCTTCATCTTAAAGGGGTCTCAGATTGATGATGATTCAGGCACGGTGATTGTGAACAGAGCCTTCTGAACGTTACGCTGGGGTATTTCAGGATAATTCAGTGTCGTTTAACAACAATTCAGAATTTTTCGAGTCAAAAATTGTAGCATCATTCGCTCCCTGCCACTTGTACCATTTAATTTACATTGAGTTCATCCCCACCTGAATTCGTGGTGACCGGTGGACTACATATACTTGGCCGAGTTGGTTGGTTTTAGGCATCGTAATTGCGTCACATGAACTTTGAAGTTGGTATGTTGGTGCGACACTCGCCTTGTCGCATTATCAGTTCATGCGTGAATTCATGCGCTTGACGTAGAACGCTGTGTGGCGCATGGTCAGTGATTGGCGCTAGAGCATTCACATTCTCAACGTCATCACTTTGGCCCGGTGTCCTTGACCAATAAAACTTTTGTGTAAGGCATTATCACCTTTGTTCTAACGAGTGGTGTCCATGAGCCATGCACCTTTGACTTGGTAACCTTGACATATGCACACCTCCGATCTTGTGACCTTTGTGACGTGGCAGAGTTCTGGTCTGACGACCCTGATCGCCAATGCGTCGAACTTGACATCAGCACCTTTAAACCTACGCGGTGGCATTAACCTGATTAAAGCTGAGACCCGGCGATCACAGAGGAGACTCTGACCCCTGATGTGGTGACCTGTGTACCTTGCATCGTGCCTTGCAGGGAACTGCTGTCCGGACCGACTGGACGACTGCAGCAGTCCAATCCTGGACACCCTCTGCTACTGCGATGAATTCTGCGACCGTGGCGCCTCTGGCGACTGTTGTCCAGATTACTTCTCCTACTGCCTGGGCGAGAAGGGACCCGATCCCGTGATTGGTACGTGACGTCACTGGGACGGATCGCTGAGGCCTGCCCTGGTACGCTTGGCTGCGGTTTCCACCGTCATGAAGACAGGCAATAGCACTGTTCCTTGCCGACCGAGGTCACCAATTGTGCGCCGAACGCCGCTGAAATAAAAAATTATAATAAAAATAATAGAAAAAAATAATAATAAAAAACGCCGCTGAGGCGGCGTTTTTTATTATTTTATTGGCAAACTGATGTGCGTTTCTTCCTCTTCTGCAGCATGCTACAGACTGATGACGCATACTTTTATGTGAGAACCGTTAGATTGCCTCATCGCAGATTATATTTTGGGTGGTGACATTTTGAGCATTGGGACGTTGTTTTAAAGTGCACGGTGCCGAAACAAATAAGGGGTTAATTAGGGGCTAAGGAGTTAAACTAGCTCTTCCTATCGTTTAACAGTACGCTTTCGCGTCCCTTTTTAGCTGGATGCAATCACAGAGGAAGAAAACTTCTGCCCGAGCAGAGCGTTAAAGAGAACTGCAATATTTGGTGAGCTCATGAATAATCTTGGCCTGTGTCGTGTTTCCCTAAGCAACACCCAGGAATACACGCGCTCAAATCTAGCAGTAATGAGTGGGAACGAGCATAAACAATTTTTATTAGCGCGCCCAAAACTGATGACTGTTTTCGCATCATTGGAAAGGTGCCGGCAAATCGTCAGTGGGCCCCGAATGATGATCTTTGATGAAAACATAGCAGCTTGTAAAACCAGAGCAACGACCGTTTGTTAACATATTTGTAAACATGCTTGGGTCCAAATTTCAGAACACCTATAAGACCCTTGCACCCAGCGAAAGATTCGTGCATTCCTTACATTCCTGCCGTGTTTCTAACGTGCTGCTAAATGTGCTGCGCGCAGCAAGTGCGTGAAGGTCAGCGACACGCTCGCCGAGCTGATGTGCGACACCAGCAAGTGCCTAGTGCAGCCGGAGCTGATCGGCGACATCAACAGCCAGGACGCCTACGGCTGGAGGGCCAGCAACTACTCTCAGTTTTGGGGAAAGAAGCTCAACAGCGGCCTCCAGTATCTGCTCGGTACCCGTTACCCCCACGACATGGTGAGTGGCCGGGTGCTGACGTTTCTCCACTTCCGTCCGCGGGAGAATGCCGGTCTGTCATATGTCTTCAGGAGAATGTCTTTAAACCCGTAATCGTTCATCCATATTGTGCAAAATGTACTAATGACTGGTTAATTTATCAATTTGGGACGCGTGTTCCTCGGAGCAGATATTAAGCTGTGGGTCCCAGATATCCCTATCGCAGTACTATTGTGCTTAATGCTACAAGCCTGTCTTAATGGCAACCCATCCATCCCGCTGCCTTGCTGTAGATACCGCACAATGTGCTTGTTTATAATTATCTGCGTTCTACGCACGCATTGTCTTTCTGGAAATATCGACGGCGCATATAATGCATACACCTTTTTGACGAAGGTGTCAGCTTCAGCGGTCTCCTTTTCCTGTCGCAGATCAACCAGATGTACCCCATCACGAAGGTGTTCGACCCGAGCCTGTTGCCGCGCTCGTTCGACGCCCCGCACGAAGCGCGAGGTGGCGAGGCCTGATCGGGCCGGTGAGGACAGGGCTGGTGCGGCGCCTCGTGGGCCTTCTCCACGGCCACACGGCCGCAGACGGCTGGCCATCCAGAATCCGGGCCGTCGGCGGCTCGACTTCAGCGAAACAGAACGTCATCGACTGCGGCTACGTGCGCGACGACGGCTGTCTGGGCGGCAACCTCGACCGCGCCTGGAACTACTTACGCCGATTCGGGTCAGTGACAGGCGTGCCGTGACAGATGCCATGTGACAGGTGCCGTGCCGTGGCAGATGCCGTGTGGCAGGTGCCGTGCCGTGACAAGTGCTGCAGCACATGTGCCGTGCCGTGACAGATGCCGTGTGACAGGTTCCGTGCCGTGACAGATGCCATGTGACAGGTGCCGTGCCGTGACAAGTGCTGTAGCGCATGTGCCGTGCCGTGACAGATGCCGTGTGACAGGTTCCGTGCCGTGACAGATGCCGTGTGACAGGTGCAGTGCCGTGACAAGTGCCGCAGGACAGGCGTGCCGTAGGACAGGTGTCGTACCATGACAATTCCGTGTGGCAGGTGCCGTGCCGTGACGGGTGCCGTGTGACAGGTGACAGATGCCGTAGGACAGGTTTCGTACCATGGCAGATGCCGTGTGGCAGGTGCCGCGTCATGACGGGCAGACGCAACATGCGTGCTTCACCGTCTGATGTGCCGACGTAAAGACATTTCTATTCGTCATCGTCATCGACTTCAAGATCTTGTGATTCGCCATCGACGCTTGAAGCTGCTGTACGGCTATCAGAGATGCAACTCTCGCAGCGCCGTCGTGATGGACCCAGAGAAATAGTCACGTAACGCGTGTGTTTTTTTAAACTCAGTGTCACGATCTCAGGCGCGCTGTGTTCCCAATCGCGCACGCGCACGCTACCCCACCACAAGCAGATTACCTGGAGGGGGAGAGAAAGGGGGTGGCAAACACTCGGGGATGAGTGGTTTGAAAAAGCGTGAACAACTTGATATGGGAATGGGTACATTTTAGCGACCTTTTTAACTTTAATCGTAAATGCCAAGGAGCATGGACTTGCATGGCAAAGGTCTGTCAGTCACTGGGCGGAGAAGTCGAGCTAGCTGAAACTGCTCAGGTGACGGCCCCTGAAACGGCCTGGAACCCCCTGGTGAAGCCCGGTGTTCACGTCGGTTAGTCATTCACCGCTCTGTTAATGCTTGTGTCAGTTGCCACGCACTGAGCATAACAACCTGCTCACGGCCTAAACACT